AGCTTATACATCAATCTGCAAAAATAAATCACCATTTCCCCTCCTGGTGTAAGGCCTGTTGCCAGGTGCGGTGTCCTTTGGTGCTTTGCGTGAGGAGCAAGAGTGCCCCGGTCTCCCTGAAAAAGCTCTCTCCCAAGGAATCCTCTGCAGAAGCCTCTGACGCCTTTCTCCCACCCACAGGATTGAGCGCATCATCACGCCCCGCCTGGCCCTCACCACGGCAGAATTCCTGGCGTACCAGTGTGAGAAACACGTCCTCGTGATCTTGACGGACATGAGCTCTTATGCGGAGGCCCTGCGTGAGGTCAGTGGGAGAAGGACTGGCATGCAATGTGGCTGGGCCACGAGTCCCCAAACAGGGCTTGAATGGGCCTGCCCCGAACTTCAAACACACACAAACATTCCCCGTAGGGTAGACGGAACAATCTCCAGGACCATCTGTCTGCATAGGGTACACAAACACAAAGATGACATCAGAAACAGCAACATAGAGAAGCCTGTATTAGAACATTTCAGCTTCCAAGCGCATTTTGTCACAAGGCTATTCGAAGTGAGCTGCATTAATATGAGCTAGTATGCCTCTGAAGGCTTAACTAAAGACCACGGCTGTTTACTACACTGTGGCCAAAATCCTGTTGGTTTATCTCGCTTGCAGGAGTTCAACTGTGGACGTCATAAAAGCAAATTAAAATTTATTAACAGGGTGTTCTTTGTGCACTGGTCAAAATTGGGGTGCATGACCAGGCATGAGACGGACACCTCATAAATTAGCTTTAGTTAGCCACTGCAACTTCCATGATGGTGCTATCATTCATGGAAGCAAAAAACAGAACTTTGTAATGAACAGATTAATAAGCTGGTTTTCTTTGTAGTCCTATGTATAGCCAAAACATTGTTCTGTTTTGTAAAATTCTGGATTCAGCATAACCACCTCCTTTCCCAAAACAAGTCCTTGTATCCACCCTTCAGAGGCAGCCTACCTATTTTACACAGCCAACAGGGGGCTGGACTCAAGCAACCACAGGATGCCTTCCAGCTCTGCCCTTCTGCGAGGATGATTGCGCGGCTGATTGACAGGGAAGGTTCCACTCCGTGCCCGTGACTTCTCTATTTTTCCTTGCCAGGTCTCAGCTGCCAGAGAGGAGGTGCCCGGGCGAAGAGGTTTCCCAGGCTACATGTACACGGACCTGGCCACCATCTATGAGCGCGCTGGACGTGTAGAAGGCCGTAACGGCTCCATTACGCAGATCCCCATCTTGACGATGCCCAATGACGGTGAGGAGGAGATTTGGGGGTGGGGCTGGGAAGCCACTCCATTCATACCAGCATGGTCAGTGGCTCAGAAAGTGGAGCTTTGAGGAATCTGGATCAGACAACAAGAAGACAACAGTTTCAAGGATGGGAATTGGGGGGGGGGAATGAGGGAAGGCTGAGAAAAGGATAAGTTTGCAAAATTCATGGGGGATTTATTTACCCCACCATCATCTCCACCAGTTTCTTCCATTAGGACATGGCTTCTCAGCCTATACAAAGTGAACATTTCGTATGTCACAGAACGTCCCCGTGGGTGAAGGGATGGCGAAACACAAAATGCACAGTTACAAGATGGGGGATACCTGGTTCAGCAATACTATGAGCAAGAAGGATCTTGGAATTGTTGTAGAACACAAGCTAAAAATGAGCCAACAGTGGGATGCGGCTACAAAAAAGGCCAATGCTATTTCAGGATGTGTTAACAGAAGAAGAGTCTCCAAATCCTGTGAGTTACTCGTTCCCCTCTACTCAGCACTGGTTAGGCCTCCCCTTGAGTAATGTGTCCAGTTCTGGACGCCACGCTTCAAGAAGGCTGCTAATAAATTGGAACAAGTTCAGAGGAGGGTACAAGGGGGATCAGGGGGCTGGAAACCAAGCCCTGTGAGGAAAGGCTGAAAGAACTGGGCATGTTTAGCTTTGAGAAAAGAAGACTGAGTGAGGAGACAGGATAGCACTTTTCAAAGACTTTGAAAGGCTGTCCTCCAGAGGAGGGGCAGGATCTGTTCTCGATGCTCCCAAAGTTCAGGACATGTCATAGTGGGCTCAAGCGACAGGAAGCCAGGTTTCAGCTGAATATCAGGAAGAACTTCTCAACAGTTAGGGCAGTACAGCAATGGGAACCCATGACCTCGGGAGGTGGTGAGCGCTCCAGCGCTGGAGGCCTTCAAGAGAAAAGTGGACCGCCGTCTGTCAGATCCGTTTTGATTCGGGTTCCTGCCTTGAGCAAGGAGGGGTTGGACTCGATGGCCTTAGAGGCCCCTTCCGACTCCAATATTCTAGGATTCTATGCTGCGTTTTTGGGTGGCCCTGGCAGTGACGGATGTGGCAGGGAGACATCCCCCCCTTAAAAACACACACACACACACACACCTGAAATCAGGAACGGCAGCTGGCTTGGGGAAGATGTTCCCTCTGCTTACAGAGCACGGCTTGGTGCATGGACTCAGATCCTCTGGAAGCCCTTTGCTCTGCAGGGAGAGGGATTCCTGTAACCTTGAAGATGTTGCTCCCCATGGGTGAGTGAGGGGAGAATTCCAAGGGATGCTCCGGCATGCTCACACCTCTGGCCTCCTTCAACAACAATTTCATTTGGGTGAGCGAAATTCTCCTGGGCTCTTTGGCTGCACTCCTCTCCTCTCCCCCCAACACCTACCTGGCGCAACCCCTCTCTTGGCCAACATCCCTGCCAAGAGTACCCTTTTTCCTTCGTCTTTGCTACCCTCTAGAGACCCTCCAAGGACCCAAGAAGGGGAACAGAACCCTCTTCCTGCCCCCCGTGCCCCCACCCTTTCAAAAACTGCTTCCTGTTTTGTAAAATTCTGGATTCAGCATAACCACCTCCTTTCCCAAAACAAGTCCTTGTATCCACCCTTCAGAGGCAGCCTACCTATTTTACACAGCCAACAGGTAACTTACGTTAGTCACGTAACTCTCCTCATTGCCTGGATGGACGGACGGGTGGACGGGTGGACGGACGGACAAAGAGAGAGAGAGAGAGAGAGAGAGAGAGAGAGAGAGGGAGGGAGGGA